ATATTTCAAGCAGTCTGATTTTAATAGTTTCCAGATTGGGGGATTTCCGAGAAAAGGGGCGCTGGGCCGAGGCATACCCGGCAGCTCATGTCTGCTTCTGATTAACAGATGAAAACTGCTGGTTCTAGAGAAGGAGCACTGGGGTTCAGCATAGCCAAGAAGCCCCAGCAAGCTGTTACACACACATCCCCACACCTTTTGTGCTTGGGGTCCCACAGCCACCAGGGAGCACCCCACTCCTGGCTAATTCTTCATCAGCATCCTTAAGATCCTGGTTTGGCCATCCCCTAGGAGTGATGCAGCTTCTTAGCATGGCCCTCTTACCCCTTGCCTCACCAACATCCAAACTAAACACCACAGAGACAGAGACAGATAGACAGGGACACAGAGAGACAGAGACACAGAGAGACAGAGACACAGAGAGACACAGAGACAGAGACAGATAGAGACAGAGAGGGAGAATAAAGTAAAAAGACCTAGAAGTGGAGCTGAGAATGAATTGAAGAGTAGAAACTCAATTTCATTTTAATTGTATTGACTTTACCATCTTCTTCCTCCTTGCCTCCTTCCTTCCTTTCCCTCTTTCTTTTCTTCCCTTCTTTTGTCTTTTCTTCTACCTTTCCTCCTCTTCCTCTCTGCCCTTTCCCTCTCTCTGTCTCTCCAATCCCGGGAGCCTATCTTGATCCCTAGGGGCTGTCAGGCCTTCCTCCAAGCCAAACATCCCTACCAGCATCCAGTCCCAGACATCTCTCAAAGCACCAATGTACCAATGCAACCCGGCAAGAATCCAGCCCAGGCCTTCACCCAGCACCCAACTTTTATCCTCACCTATCTCCTCTCCAATCTCATGTACTCATAAATTATTACAATTAATTACAGTCAAGGAAAACCATTCATGCTTGCAGCCACCTCCCACCCCCACCCCAACACACTCCATCTAGCCATCAGAAAACTTGTAGGCAGCCAGCCAGGGCAGGCACAAACTAGGCCTCCACTTCAGCAGCCTCCACCCCTCCCCTGCACCCCTACCCCCACCCTGCCCTGTTTGGAGAGAACCGGCAGGCTTTTGCCCTTCCAAGGTAGAAGAAGCCCCTTCTGTGGCCCCAGCCTTCCCTAGAGGATCACACCACTTGCCTCCTCCAAAAACAGCAGCCTGGGAGCCACAGGGAGGAGAAATAACGAGAACTAGATACAGTTGGGTTTCTGGTTTTTTTTTTTTTTAAGTGACTTCGATATATTAACACAGAGCTGTTCTACCATAACAAACAGAAGCACATTACAGGACGGACGCTGGGGACAGCCGCTGGGGGTGAGAGGGGACACTGCTATATACACGCCCGAGGCACCGGCCTGCGCCGCCCGACCCAGCCTGCAGCTCAGTCCTGGCCCTCGCCCCTCAGCTCCAGGGCTGGAAATCATCTTTGTGTGTGTATGTGTCTCTCTTTTTTTTTTTTTTGTACAAAACTGCACGCAGAGTGCCCAAGGCCCAGGAAGGGATGGCCTGAACCAAATACGATACAGGAGGAAAAAATTAGAAATATAGCAATTCAAGTACTGGCTTCTCTGAAGAAAGGAGAAAAAAATCACATTTGTGTGTGTCATTTATTTCAGTTGCGCTGGGTTGAGAGAACGTAGTTTCTCTGTTTCTCTCCTGCCTTCTCTCCTCGCTGGATAGAACTAACTCTAAAACATCAATTTTTCAACACTTAACCCTCCCAAATTGCAAGAGTTTTCCTTTTCCCCCTCCTCTCTTTTTTTTTTCCTTGTTAAGCTGCTTGACTTTTTCTCTATCTTGCTCTTTCCTTTTCTTTTCGTGCTTTCTCCCGCCTGGGTTGGGATATTTTTTGTGGGGTTTTTGTTGTTCTTTTTATTATTATTATTCTCTTGGCTGGTGCCGAGGCAGCAGGCTGGGGCAGGTTTTAGGATTGCTCCTTGTCGGTTTTCTCTTTATTCATCTTTTTCATCTTCATCCTTCGGTTCTGAAACCAGATTTTGACCTGCCGCTCGGTGAGATTGAGAACCCGGGCCACCTCATACCGACGGTCCCTGGTTAAGTACATATTGAAGAGAAACTCCTTCTCCAGTTCCAGCGTCTGGTACTTGGTGTAAGGGCAGCGCTTCTTCCTCGTGGAGCGGGCGTGGATCCAGTTGGCCACAGGGTTGCCTAGAGGGTCAAACACAGACAGGGGTCAGTGGAGCCCCTTTCCAGCTCAGAACCTCAGCCACCCAACCCCCAAGCTTACCCAGGCTCCCCAAACCCAATAATTGAACCTGAATTTGGACACTTTTTATTTTTTTTGCTTTAGAAAATCTCTCCCTTTTTCCTTTTGCATCCTACCCTCTCCTCATTTCCCCTTCCTCATCCGGTTTTCCAGCACCTAAAACTAGGAAATCCAAAGCTATCCCAGTCCCTCTGGTCTAGTCCTCAGCTTCAAGAGTAGTAATTCGAGAATATCCTCATAAAAAGTCCAAATTCCCAACCGTTTCATAGGCCCATAAACGCTTCTCTCTCTTGTTTTTTATTTTTATAGCGAGGTCTCTCTCCTCCCTACCTCCCTCCTCCTCTGCCCCCTCCCACCCTCCCAGCCCACGACCAAGTCCTGAAATTTCAGCAGTCCCTCCTGACCCTCAAAGTCCCTAAACCTCTCACCTCTTTCCACTACTGCCTGTCTCCCGCTCAGAGTTCAACCCTGCTGAGGCGAATTCTCAGGGTGATGCTGAACTAGGCAAGTCTTTCTCCTCTCCCCAGAGAGCTGCTGGCCTTGGGGACAAGACTCCCCCCCCATCTTAGCTTCACCATCAGCCTCCAGTGCCCACCCCCCCCTTCTGCCAGCCCCAGGACAGGCTCTCCAGGAGCTGAGCCTCCAATTTCAGGTTTATGGGAGTAGCTGAGGGTAGGGAGGGAAGCCTTCAGAGAGGTATAATTAGGCCCTGGCTTCTTATGGGGATAGAGGAAAAGATTTCCTGAAGCCCCTCCTGGAGTCCCAGACCCTTCCTCACACCTAGGAGTACTGCACCCCCTCCTTGCTGCTTTTCTTCTTTCCCCCTTTCTTGAGTTCTGCAGCTCACACCTGCCCCTCACCTACCTCTAGCCATCTCTTCTTTGCAATACTCAGAAGGCTCCTGTCCCCCTGATTTAAGTGTGTATGTGTAAACTCATGTGTAGAATAATCCATGATCCCTCCCCCTCCATTCTTAATCTTTCTCTGCAGACCCTCAGAAGAGGGTTCTCAAGTTTAAGGAGACTTAAATCTTACTTCTCTCTGGTAGAGTCCTGATCTCTCTAAGTTTCAAGGCAGTGAAATCCCCAGACCCCTCACACAGTGCTCCTGGAGCAGTCAGTGGACCTTCTTGTGTTTTATGAATCGCTAGTGGAGTGAGGACCCCCATGCTCACTGGCAGATAGGGATAGTTTTTCCTCTCTGAACTATTTACTCTACCCCCCCCCCCTCCAGAGTCCTCCTCACTTCTCTCCTGTCCCATCTCAAACCATAAAATGAGCCTCACCCCCTTGCCCCAGCTCCTGGATGTATTTTTCTTGGAAAGTGGCAACTGGCCCCCCCCCAAAAGAGCCTGGACCAGGAGGAGGGGGGGGGCAAGGGGGTCTCTCATCAGAGCCAAGCCCCTGGGAGAGGAGTCCCCCCTCGGCAGCCCTCTCCCAACCTGGCTGCTTGGGCCAACCCCCCCCCCTCCCCACTTCTTAGACCTTCCTGTCCCTGAAAGCTTCCCCAAGGTAATTCGCTTTTATTGAATCCTCGCCCCCCTCGCCCTCGCCCCCTCTCCCGCGCTCCCCTGCACCGCTCCGAGGGGCTGTAATCCGGCTGCCCCCCTGCCTGTCCTCCCCTCCCCTCCCGCGCCCGGTTGTAAAGGAAAATTGCTCCCAACTTACTGGGGTCCAGGTCGGCCTTCTCCTCTTTGTGCTTGCTGCCGGCGAGGGCGTCCGCCTCGGGCGAGGGCAGTGTCTGCGGGGCGCGGTCGCGCAGCTCCCCGGGCGAGCCATACATGTAGTCCGGGTAACTGCGGCCGTCGCCCGGGCCGCAGTCGGTGCGGCGCCCGGGATAGGCGTCCGGTTTGAGGGCGTAGTGACGACCCCCGGCCGGGAAGCTAGGGAAGGAGACGGCGCCGGACAGCGGCTCGAGCCAAGTCCGCATGTAGCGCGTGTCGGCGCCGAGGTGGGGCTGGGGGCCGTACGGGTGATAGACCACGGACGACTGCGAGGGCACGGGCGCCCACGACGTGCTGAACACTGCCGGCTTGGGCGCGAAGCTACAGGACGGAAAATCGCTACAGTCCGGCACCAAGCCGCTGGGTCTGGCGGCGGCGGGGTGAGCCCCCGTGGCCGGAAACCTGGACGCTAGGAGGTCTTCATTGTCGTGGGAGATGAGCGAGTCCACGTAATAGTTACTGATGGGCCCCGTCGCCGACATCGTAACGGGGTTTTACATACATAAGATTATTGTATGAACTGTATATGTACTTTTTATCTGCTCACAGAACAATCAAGGCAGGTAATTATTTTTCCAGCCTTTTCCCGGCAGCTCATTGGCTCTCCAGCCCCCACGTGATCGTATTTACCCAAAAATACGGCGCGGATCAATGCGCAGGGGCTTTTTTTTTTTTTTCCCCTCTGCCCTGGCTTTTTTTTTTCTCCCCCCCCCTCACCTCAACCCCTTTTCTCTGCTGATCCCCGCGACCTGCGCTTTCTTGGGGGTCTGCAACTAGAAGACCCAAGGCGCCTGCCAACCTCCCCCCCCCCCAGGACGGCTCACGTCTCATCAGGGAACCCCCCCTGGCCCGTGTCCACCCGTAAGCAGATGGCTCCCCCCTCCCTATCACGAAGATTTTTTTAATGGGGGTGAAAATGCCAGGTCCACCCCCTCCTCGGGGTTCCTGGACACCCCCCAGGGCCTGAGCTGGGCGAGGGAGCCCCCATAGGGGCGGGGAGGCCGGCCGAGGTAGGTGGAGGAACTATTTCTTGACGTAATCTGTCTCTGTCGGCCCCAACGCTCCCGCAGTCTCTCAGCGAGCCGAGATCAGCGATTGTCAGTTCGGAACGTGGCTTTTAAAAATGCGTTTTTAAATAGTGTGTATGTATGTATTTCTTTCAGGAGCAGCAGCAGCAGCAGCAGCAGCGAGGGAGGGATGTGGGAGGGGACTGGACAAGCTAGGATGGAGGGAGGGAAGGAAAGGAGGAGAAGAGAAGCGTCCTCTTGCCACTGGCCAACTCAGCCCCCCAAATCTGGGGAAGAGAGAAGCTTGGGGGAAGATGGTGTAAAGGTGGGAGGGGTAGAACTTCAAGATCGCGAACACCTTCCTCATCAGCCCCAGAAAGCTTCTCTTTGCTTTGGCACAGATACACAAGCGCCTTTATTTTAAATTTATTGTCTCTTATGTTTCTTTGCCAGCTTGAAGAAGTGGAGCAGAGATCTGCACAACTTAAGTGAGGCATCCCCATCCTATCTGCCTGCTCATCCTCTTTGGTTCCCCCCCCAACTTCATCTCTGCGACACCCTTCCCCCCCCAAAAAAACCCCAAGAAGTCACTCCCGGGTTCTGTCTGCAGAAAGCCAGGGTGAGAAGCGGGCAAGGCGAGAGAGCGACCTCGGTCGTGGGCAAGTAGCTTGTTTTTACGTCCTTCAATAAAAATTTTATGAGGATCATTTGATTGTTCATAAATGTGTCTTTCATTAAATAAAATTGTAGGCTGTTTTTGGAACGGGAAAAAAGCAACGGAGGGATGGGAGAAAGCAGTTTCTTTGGGGTCGGATGCAGGAATTCCGGAGGGGGTTAGTATGATTGTAAGGAAATATTAGACAACTTGGATTCTGCCTCTTGCCCCCCCTCTGCCTATTAGTTGCTACCCTCCTTCTTGAATTTGGGGTTTGTTTCACAGCCCTAGGCTTCCCATCAGACTATCCCAAGGTGGTTTAATAAATGGGGGCTAGAGGCTTTAGGTAAGCAGAAAAATCCTCAGTGTGAGCTGCAGGTGAAGGGGTAGGGAGGTTGGTTGGGGAAAGAGATGGACAGGAGCTGTCCCTAGAGATGTGGTGTACCTAGGCATGGCCAAGTGAGTTTGAAGGAGGGGTGCAATTTCAGGGTCAGAGAGAACAGACCCAGACTGTGCAAGAAGAAACAGACAGAAGCTCAGGATGCAGGCTCTGAAGGCAACAGAAAAGGCTTCTCAGACCCAGCCACCAAGCCTGCCCTTCTTCTCCCTCTCCTGTCCCCAAGAGGGGACCAAACGCTTAGGGTGGGGGCAGGGGCTGTTTTTCTTCCGTGTCACCATTGATCTGTCTCCTCAGGGGTAGAGAAAGACTGGGGAGTCCAGTACAAGTGTTGGGGGCAAGAAAGTTGGGGGAAGTATACTGATGTAGTCCTCAGCATGGGTTCCCAGCTTGTCAGGCCCCCTTTTTGCTCCCCCCCCCCCACCCTGGTTCCTTTCTTTTCGGTCTAGCGGGGCTGGGATTTCCAGGCACAAGGTGGGGGGGGACGAGAAAAGTGCCTGTCTGAGGAGAGGCCCTCATCCCACTAAGCTCCCATTCAACTCCTCTGTCTTCTCCCTGTGGCTGGACTGGCTGGGAAACCCAAATTACAACAAGAAACAGAATATCTCTTTGGCCTTGATGTAGCTGTCAATCAAAAAATCTCTCCTTCTAGTTCAAGGAAGAGGCAAGGGGTTACAGTCCCTTTATAATGGCATTCTCCAACCTCCCCCCTCCCTGGAAGTCAGCACCTCCCCCAGCCCTGGGTGGCTGGGGACCCAGCCTGGCTCTTGGGCTGCTGCTGGCAGCAAGATCTTGTAGAGACATTTAGCCTTCAGCAGGGCCCGGGGCCAGACTGCTACCAAGAGGACATCAAGGGACACAGCCTGAGACAGCCTGAGACAGCCCAGCTGAAACACGGCACCAGGCCCTATGAAAGAAGGAAACGGAGGATTCGAATAAAAAGGAAAAAAGGAGGAGAATCAGAGGAAAGGAGGAAAGCAAGATGAAAAAAGACAGAAGATCTGGAAAAGGAAAGCTTGCAGAGAGTAAGGAGGAGGCAGGGCAGCGATCCACAAGCAGGGCAGGGCAGGGTGAAAGCTGGCGGAGCAGAGCAGCCATGGCATTGTGCAGTTCGCTTGCTTGCCGGCCTTTGCCGGGACCCGCTCCTGGCGCGGCAGTCACTTCTGTCTGGACACAAAGGAGGAAGAGGCCTCCTCTCCTGCCCCTCCTGGAGGACCTGCTGGGGTGGGTACCCTAGGCCTCCAGGATTTAGAATCCCGGGTTGACCCAGGCAGATAGCCCAGGAGGCTGGGGGCTGAGCCACATTCTAGTCAAGGAGGGAGAAACAGAAGGGTAAAGAGGTTTCATGCCTGCTGTTCCTTTGGCTTCTTCGCCTGGCGACAGAGCCTGTCTGCTCCAACCTCAGCTTTTCTAAAGGGAAGAGTCCTTACAGATTCTCTCCTATAGATCTCAGCTATTTGGGAGAGCCCCTCATATGGACTACGTGGCTGTAAAGGGACACTCCCTTCTCTCTTACCCCCTTTGATGCCTTCTTTTCAACTTCTGAGCTGCCTGCACACCCAGCCTGCCTACTCTGAGGACTGCAGCAGCTGGGCAGTCAGGATCGCCATCCAGGCATCCCTGCTGCCGACAAATCCCCTCGTGAAGTCAGGGGAGAGATTGTCGCCTTCCTTCCTTTTGGAAGCAGGAACTCCGGACCCTCCCCACTGAGGTGCAGCACAGCTGTAGATCTGCAAGCAGGCCTCGCCCACAGCCCCCTCCTGGCCAAGGTCCCATTTCTCCCTTGCCTCTCAGCGAAAGGCAACCTTGGGGAGGGGTCTGGAAGAGACTGGGAGTCCTGAGTCCACTAGGCCCAGGCCCCCAGGGTGCTATGAGTGCAAGTGGGTGGGATGTAGCCCCCCCTTCCCACATTTAGAGGTAAGGTGTCAGAGCATGCTCTGACGTCTTCCAGACTTCTTCTAAATCCGAGCTTGTAGGTGTTGGGACCCCAGGAAGGGGCACCCAGAAGGAGAATATCATCTTCCTGGGGTTCAGTTACTTCTGCCGAATCTTTGGGAATATCCTAAAACTCTGTCTCTCAAGATCTCACCTATACCACACCACTGCCTTCGGTTTTTCTCAGCCTTGCAGGGACAAAACCTGAAGCACTGGAAGGTAGCTGAGAGCCCCCGTTGTGGAGGAGGAACCCCAGCTCTACCTAGCAGCTCTGGGTTCACTCTAGTGGTTCTTAGCATTTACCTCCCACCTCATCCCTGGGCACAGAAGAGCCCCCTAAAGGAGGAAGCATCCTTATGCCATCACCTCAAACCTGGACAGCTGAGACCACAATCAAGCTAACATCATGGGAAGGACAGACAGACGACAGGTTGGAGTCCACCCCCTCCTCTGGTCCTGCATCTCCATTTTAGTGATTTAGCCCCCCTCCCCCGGCTCAATCCACACCGTCAAGTTCGGATTAAATTTAAAACAGGCTTTTCCCGATGCCCCCAGCTGACCAGCCGGGCCTCCGTAGGAGGGGAACCCGCGCCCTGCTCCCCCAGCACCCGCCCTTGTCCTGCGCGGAGGAAGCCGGGCTCCATTTGCTTTCATTTTCCGTCTCCCCCTGGAAATGGGCTCATTGCACCTCCCCGCCGCCCTCTCCCCCTCCCCCCTCCTCCCTGCTTCCCGGCTTACTTTCCTCTCCTTCTCTCCGGATCCCCTCTTTGGGGGGGCGGGAGAGAAAAAAAAACAAAAAACACGGCCACACACAACTCCTAGCTCAGGCCTGCGCTGCTGGCAGCAGAACCTGAGCTTCTCCTGCCTGCCGCGAGGAGACCCGCGTCTTGTCCCCACCCCAGGTGGGTACCCCGGATCCCTACTCGTCAGGAGACAGAACCCTCGTCCACTCAAGCCCAGCAAGGAGTGCAGCCCCTCCAGGGCCTGTGAACGTGGCCCTCTGAACGCCACGGCCTGCCTGCCAGGCCTGCCTTCTCGCCGGCGACCCCCGCCCTGACTCTCCGCAGCAAACGGGGCTATTTCCGGCTCCCCCAACACGATCTGGTTTTCCAGCCTTGGGGAGTGGCTGGAGGGGGGGGGGAGCCGCCCCCATGCTAGGGGCTGCTCTCTGCCCGGTGTCCTCAAGGGCCTGAGCGCCTTGTGTTACCTGATCTTTTGTGTGATGTATGTGTCGCAAGGAAATTTGCAGTGACTTTGGAGCCCAGACTGAGGAAGCGGAGGTGGCGAAAGAAGAGACAATAAGGGCTCCGAAGTACAATTAAGGGGCCCCCCTGAGCCGCTCGTCTCCCCCCCCCCCCCCTGCCCACCCCGCCCTCCCTGCCCGACTGGGAGCTTGTCTGGCGTCAACTCTCAGGGCGACTGGCGAACCTGGAGCCGGAAACTCAGCCCCGTGGTGGTGGAGGGAGCCAGAGGACTCCGCACCCAGAAAAGAGGGTCACTCCCTCCCAACTTGGGGGCGCCGTAACCAAGCCCCGCTGAGTTGCACGAGAGAAGCAAATGAATGAAAGTGCACGTTCTGACGACGATTTCCCTCCCCACCCCATCACACTCTGATTTTGTTTTTGTTTTTCCCAGTCTTTAAGACAGAGAGCCCAGGGTTATTGGGGGAGACCATCTCAGACAGACAGTCCGACAGGCAAACAGGCAGGCAGACAGACAGGCAGACAAATCACATCTCCCAAAGCAGACAGACTCACAACATGAGTGTGAGCCTGAAATCATTAGACAGGTTCAACATTGCCGGAGACCTCTTTGCCAGGCCTGGCGGGCGCCGATTTCCCTACCTTCTCTCCCGCCAAGGCCTCAGGCAGAGACACCCAGAAGACTCGGTCCCTTCTTGGTTTGGTCCAATCCCGCCTCGGGAAGCGCCTTCGTTACCTGCTCCTCGGCTTCCCACGGCCACAGATGCAGGGCAAGCCTGCCTCCCGCCGGGGGAGGGAAGCCCCGGCCACCACCGCAGCCGCCGCCACCCACCCACCCTCCTTCCCTCCCTCCCTCCTTCTCGCCCTCCCTCCCTCTCTCCCTCCCTCACGCGCTGCCGATCGCGCGGGGCCCTCCCGCGGGCAACCTGCTCTGGACCAAATCCAGGTATCTCCGAAAAGGGCAGGGAGGAAAAACAAAATAAGGATCTCTTGTGCAGAAAAGAAAAGAAAACGCCTTAAATGCATTTATTTTGCATGCTCTGACCCTGCTTGGGACATAGCCCTGCCGCCGCCGCAGAGGTGTGCGGGGCCTGCCTGCCCACCGCGCCACCGAACACTGCGCGCTCCACTCTCCGGGGCCGCCGCCCCCTCGGCGGCTCAAACACCGGACAGACCTCAAGGTCCTTCCTACAGACTCAACATCCGGTTGCCGGCCATGCCGCTGACCACAGCCCTGGAGCCCCCGCTCTGCTCCGTCTACAGCCAAAGTCCACACACAATCCACCTTGTTGCTGCTCAGTCTGGACACCTCCTCCTAATCCAGCGGCCCTTCAGGCTACACTTGGGCAGGCCAGCCCTGCCTAGGACTTTTAATAAACAAACAAAACAACAACAAATCTGGTCACCCTCCATGAGGACCCACACACAAACCTCTTTGCACTAACTAGCATTCTCAACCAGAGTCCCCACTCCCCAGTTGCTGCTTCTTTCCACCACCACCACCCCCGCCCCTTCACCTGTTCCAGAGAAGGGTGGCAGCTGCTAGCAAGCCCGCCCGAAGCAAGGCCGATGGCCAGGGCTAGGGTGAGGTCCTGGGAAGGCCACAGCGAATTGACTGGGCTGAGCGGGAGCCCCCGCAGCCAGCGAGGTATGCCATAAACCAAGACTCTCCTGGGCGAGCTCTTGCCTTTTCCTCCTTCTCCCGCAAGTCTCCAACATTCGCACGCGAAGAGTTCAGCTCTATAAATCCTGCTCCTCTTTCCCATATCATAATTAAAAAAAACCAGTAGGGGAGGTTTTAACTTTTATTGCGATTTCTAGAGTTGGGCTGCCGAGCATATATTAAGTTTACGCTTATGCGCTCTCGGCGGGGAGGGTCCTTTAAGAAATAAAAATCCATCTTAATATCCACAGACGAGAGAGATAATTTTTTCCCTCCTCTTCACGCTGTTCTTTCTGAAGACTCCCTTCTAGCGAAGCGAATAAATGATTACCGTCATCGCCTTAGCCATGATCCATAGCCCCAGGGCCCAGGGGTGGGCTCTGACCACCAGACTGGCCCTCACCTTGGCCCTATGAGACCTTGCTCCGTTCCTAGGGACCTAGAGAGGAAGGGATAGTCTGACCCTTGGCTCTGTGGTCATCTTCTGTAAGCCCACCCGCTTTGAAATAAAAATGAGGGCAGAAGGACCCAAAGCACTGGAGTCCTTCCTTGGTGAATTTCGGCCCATCGGGGCTGATACTTCTAAGCCAAATATTCTTGCACACCCCGTTGCTGCCTGAGACTCTCTTGACCCCAACTAACTATATCCTGGGGGGCAATCTGAAGACTTGGGGGTTACTAGGTACTCTCAAGGCAGGGGAACCCCTTGTATGCCTCCCACCAGCTGGCCTGCCTTTCTGGAAACCTCATTTCCTTGGGAGCCATAGGGATTTGAGTATTCCACTCTAAGGGAAGAATTATATTTTCATCCACAAAGGAATGGGGGACAGACAGACCGACAATTCTATGGGGAGTTAAAAGGTTTAGTCTCATTTTTTTCCTCTAGTTTTCACAAAAGGAGTCAAAATCAATCTCTCTTCATATAAGAGAGAGAAATAAATACGTATGTAGATAAGTACATATAGAAGATTTGCAAATGCCTAGAGGAGACCCAGAGATAGAGACAGACCTACACTTATTCCAGGGTCACATGTATCACACATACCCTGCTCCAGCAAACCACTGTGCAGATATACCATTCTATGTATATATTTTGTTTGAAACATGATTTTATTCTCTATTTAAATTTTATAATGTTTTAACCATCATAATTATTCCAAAAGGAAGAGAGCCAAGAACCTGACCTCTTCCTTTCAACCTTATTGTACAGCCTCTGTCTGTGAACAGAGGTGTATCTCCCAATTCTCTAGGACCCCTCATCCCACTTTTTTCACTGAAGGCAAAGAAATCTCTTTTAAGATTATTCTTGTAGCAATCAAGACCAGAATGGAAGAACCAGAGAGGGAAAGGGAGTAGATAAGGCTCTGCAAAGTTTCTCACTGCTCAGATTTCCCTTTACCCTATACTTCTCCCCTCCTCCCCTTGGCATCAATCAACAAACCTTCCCAGCAGTATGGTAACCGTGGGTACTTGGTAGCTGCTGTTCAATCAGATATTTCCACACAACACAAAGACAACCAAATGCTTGATAGCCACAGAATGACAGGCACATAGACCAAGGCCTAAGGCAACAGATAGCTAGACAGTCCAAAGCCAGGCTTTTGCCCCGTTATCTCCCAGTAGGGTGTGTTGTTGGTAAGGATTTCTACTTGGACTTGGTAGCTTTCCTCTAACCTACTGACTCCCCACAGATGTCTTTCCCCTGGTGATGGAACCATAGACAGGGGAAGAAGAAGTGATCAGGGCTATCGCTCAGAGTTCCTAACTCTTGGGACCTCAAGACACCTTACTTTTTGAATGAGCAGCTCCCAGCCAACTGAGACCATGTTCTCTCTTTGGAGGTGGCAGGTGAGAGAAATTAACTATTCTAGAGACTCTGTCCTCTCTCTGTGCTCCTCTTTCCCCTAATGATTCTGCCCCACCCTGCTGTCCAACTGAGCTAGCCCCACCAGGCCAAACTCAAACTCCTGAATTTCCTTGGAATTGGCTGGACCTTCTTTGTCTGTCTCTATCAGCTGGGCCCAGGAGACAATAGCTGCTGGGGGGGAATAAAAAAACTCCTCTCCCTCAGTCACAGAGATTGGGACAGACTAAGGAGGGGACAGTATAAAGCAGGATTCTCCAGACTTGTCCACGGCCCCACTAGCCGCTTGTCCTCCTCAGTCTGCACCCACTTTTGTTTTATCTAGGAGGGGGTCATGGGGCAGTCCCACTGGGGAAGAAAAGAGCAAGAGAGGTGGGTGGGGGCCCTCGACGAAAACCGACTGATGTAACTCAGGCAGTTTCTTGTTGCCGAGTTCAAAACTCAATCCCAACAACATGAAACTACCTAAGCCACAGATCAGCTGAACAAGCAGGGCGGGAGATTCGGCTCTGAATCTATCCGGAGGAGAAGGGAAGGGGGTTGGGGAAGGAAGAAATTCAGCCCCGTCCCCCTTTCCGCCCCCCACAACCTCCCTAAGGACCAGAGAGTAGACTTTGGGTGGCTGAGTGGGTAGGGAGTCTGATTGCCTTCATTAGTTTCTGGACTAAGCAAATTGCTCAGAGAAAACCTGGTGAAATGGGACCACTGGCCGCCAAATTCCTGCCCCACCCCACCCCCTACTCCAGCACCGCAGTGGAGCTATTCCCCTGCATCTGGTCCTGGTCCTGGAGGAAGCTGGATTGTCCTTCCACTCTGGAGCTGGGTCCCCTGTCTTGTCCATCTGGCTCTCCAGCACTCTTCTCCCAGTCTCTCTCTGATCCCCTCTCTTCTCAGCTTGATTTTAGGCTTCCCAGCACATATGGGTGACCAAACCACAGTGCCTGTTCTCTGAAGCTACTTCCAATCAGGCCACTTGCCTGGCAAAACCCCACAGGCAGGAAGCATGAGGACCAAGAGCATGGACAAGAATCACACCCACACCAGAAAAAAAAAAAGAGGCAGGAAAACCTAGGCTTCAAGCTCCAACCCTCTCTTCCACTCCCTCCTCCCCCTCCATAAGACCAGACTGAGAGACACCTAGACCGATGTGTGGACCTCGACACAACCCTAAGAACCCGCAAAGAAAAAGAAGCCAAAGCCACCAATTTACCCCCTGTAATCACCGAATCTCATAAGCAATGGGCCCCCGGAGGCGAGAAGAGGGAGCTCACAGCAGCTACCTTCTGTTGCCAGCGGCTACAAGACAAGCCAGGGCTCTCAACAAGAACGGATGTCTGAGCCACCTTCCTCCAGGCTCTGCCCGCTGCACTCCAGGCACCTGGGGACGCTGCTAGTCCCGCACTCCACTCCGCCACCAAGAGAAGAATAAGAAACCGCTTCTCTTACCTTCTCGTTGCCTCCTCCTCCGGCTGCTGTTGTAGTCTCGGTTAGCTGCTATCGACGGTGCTGGTGTATGTAGGGGAGGGGGCTGAGCTCCTCGTGCCCCTCCGGTGGTTAAGTTTATTCCTTGGATAGGTGGGGGCCACTTGGGGTGCCCCCCATCAGCAGTGGGGTGCGTCCAGCCCAGTACCCCAGGCAATCAGATCCGTCTGCTCCTCAAGATTGCAGTTTGCTCTCTGCCTCTTTCCCTCCTCCAGTCACCTTTAAATGCATCTTTTACTGCAGCACCACATTATATTTGCAGATCATAAAATCCACCTCTCGCGCGCACCAAGACCGTCCTGACATTACTGTTTTATGACCTTGACTTATTGTGGTCACCTGGATAATATTTAAATCAACGTTATGGTCTCTCACTTACATTAAACCCGCCAAGAGACGTTCTAGAAAGGCTCTAGGAGATGAGTCAAACACAAAACACATACATTCATACACTCAGCTTCTTTGGGGGAGGGGGGTGTCGCTAAAAAAAAAAAAACCACTAAAAACAAAAAAACCACCCAGTTGAGGATTACGATTCCGGAAATTTATTAGGATTTTTTTTCTCCATTAAGGAAGCTACATGCAAAAGATACAACATACAGAATATCTTTAAATAACACAACTCCCAGACAGGGATAGGGCAATTTTTTTGTCAAGGGGGGGGCATTCTGTCTTTGCTTTGCTATATTCTATTTAAAAATTCTTTTTTTTCCCCTCTGGATGGAATTTCTGAGGTGTTAGTGGATGAGGGAGATAGGGGATCTGGGAGAGGGTGGGAGAAAGCAGAAAGCAGTACAAATA